CAATACAACTTAGAAAATATAATTTCAATGGATTATGGTACAATTATGTCCCCTGACTAAAGGCACTGAGATGTACCCTTGAAGGCACCACCCCATGACAAGAGGGGTACTACCCCAGTGACAGTTTATTACCTTTATTTCTGAGAGTGTAGACGGTGGCTCAAATAATGGGAAAATGAAATGAAACCAAACAACTGCTGAACATGCAGCTAAAAGAACATTTTTGTGCCATTCAGAATCTGCATGTGGAAATGACTGGGCCTTCGTTTGATGACACAAGCAACAATATGAAGTCTGAGCCAGTCTGTCAGGAAGAAATCTTAATATTTGCTTACTAGAGTTACCAGCAAACCATCCCATAGAATCTGAGCCACTGTGTTTTTCTGGTTCCCAAAGACGTCTTCTTTACAGTCAGTTAAACAGGATTGTGATGCCAGCCTAACTCTATAGTGCCACTACAACAGAAAACACTGAATTGTTGCACATTTTCCATTTCCACTTAGAGATAAGGTACTGATACTTTGATATACTGATATCTCTATCTTTTATATGCCTTTATATATGCTTGTATTCGTATATTATCCAGTGGCTAATTGTGCTAAACCATGATGACGTCCATGGAAATCTTTTTCTCTTGAAATCAGTATATTTTCAAGCTGCTATGCTCAGTACCTTCAACAGTTGTTGTGGCACTTTGCTGGAATGGGCTCGTGCTGAGTTGGCGTTGAGTTCTGATAGCTCTTACTTTTCTTAACCATCCTCGACATGCTAACAATGCAGTGCAGCTGCTAGCGTACATTCTGTTGGCAATGGCCCGTCTGCAGTCTCTGGCTACAAAGTGATAAAAGAAGAGACCACTGTACAGGATATAACAGTTGCAACTCCAAGACAAGACGCATTGTCTCCTGGGTCCCATATTGTGTTCTTTTTTAAATGCAGAAGTTTCTGGTATAGTGCCAGTTTCTGGGAGGTGAAGCATGTTGTCTTGTACTTTTTGGCGAGCACAAGAGCACACTCTTCACCTCGGACTTACTATTGTGACAAACAAGTGCTGAATTTATTTATTGTGTTAGAACTTATCTGCCCAGCGGTATTTGGGATTTAAAAATAGCAGGATATAGTTTCACCTTGGCAAGCATTGTAACACCCTTAATTTTCTTTAAAGAAACTTCTGCCTTAGAATAAACAATCAGCCTCTACTCTCTGGTGAGCTTGCACTTCATAATAAACTTCCCTAATTAGAGAGTCCTTATCTGCATCTTTTATTCCCCTGAGCAAAATTGATTGTGATTGCCGTGGCGCACTGGTTTTACATGATGGGGTCTCAAAAACAATGCAGCTGTCAACTCAAGCTTCTGCATTCATACGCCTGCATTTATAGCCAAAGCCCCTAGCCCTCTCTGCATTATTTCTGGGTGCATAGAAAGCACCCTGCCAGCTTGAGTGGAAAGAACAAGCATGGATTCTCTGGAGTGAATCTGTGGGACTGGTGGTGCCATCCGTGCTTGAAAGCTCTACATTCACTGCTCCCAGTTCCCCTGTGCCAGCTCCATCCTTCCCCCCCTACTGACAGCCATTACCAGCCCACAATACCTCCCACTGTTCCCAGGGCCCAGGGTGCCAACACAGGACTGCATCCTAGGGTGATGGAGCCATGCAGAGGAAAAGCTTGGTTATTTTATTTTATTTTTTTAGCCATTTGCAGGGACCTTGGTCCTAGATCTTGAAGTAGCAAGTAGGAATTGTGTTAGAAGGTAATCGATTGCTAGCTAGGCAGGTTTCTGTACCCAGAGAGGAGCAAACAGGGCATGAATCATACTGATGAGGTTGCGGAGGGGGCGTGGCAGCTGCCTGGTCAACAGGGTGCCTAGGAGAGCGAATAATAAGAGAGCTTGTAGGCGTGGTCTGCTCACAGATTGATGCACTTGTTTTGCGATCGTTCTTCTTTTAAGATGACTGCGCAGCAGTTTTTGCTGTATATCATGAATGTTTATGGCCTATTCCCAAGTTGACAAGTTGACTGATGATTGGTAATCGCCCCCCCACCCCCTTCCAGCAGGCAACTATTCTTTACCTGAAGCTCATGTTTCTCAGACTAAATACATACAGTGATGTAAAGCACATTGTCTGGTGGGTAGAACGTAGTTTGACTGCAGCATATGTGTACTTGGCCATTTAAAAACAAGAAAACTAGAGTGGCATGATTAGAATTGGCCAATATTTACAGTATCACTGCCGTGGTGTTATTACCAATAATGCACTCCAGCTCATGCTCTGCAAAATAAAGCAAAGGAGGCCTGATTATTGCAGCAAATGTGCTTTAATGTTGACAGTTCCTTCCGTAAAGTCATAAAACTGTCACAATATCAGGTTCAACTCAGCTATTTCAGTGTTCGCCAGAGTAACCTGAGCCTAGTTTGTTTGGTCGTTCTGCCGTCACAGCTGCTAACCAAAAAAGGCTCCTAAGGGGCAAATTTGGAATTTGATGCAAGCCTGCTGTCACTTTTCTGAATCTGATGAAAAAGGCTGCAGGTCAAATATCATATTGATGGAAGTTATCTAATGTTAAACCATATTTACTGTTTTTAAATGTGCTAAAGGCAAATAGAAAAGTAGATCAATTATCACATAAAGCAGCCGGTGCTCAGCTGAATAATAGTTATTGTGAAAAAAAAAGAACAGTAGAAAAATCTGGCAGTGGGTGGTGAACCAGTCCTCAGGTATGAGTTTTGGAAGAAACATGCAGATAACACAACGTACAATGTAAATCATGCTAACATCCGGTCCTTTAAGTCAGTGGCTGAGCTATGGATGTTTGTTAGTTTCAAAGTGAAAATGAATCACTTTGTTTTCATGGCAGTGGGCATGAAGGAGTTGCTGGTGTTTTGAGGTTAGCCTTTGGCTAACATGGACACCAGAGGCCTATAATGTGTAATATGCTGCCTGTGTGCTGTCGGTAGTAACTGTTTTATAATCACTCTTAACACCTGGTTTCCAATTGATTCCAAAATGGGTCAATCCACCCCTAATTTAAATTGCTACCATAACATGGCCTTAACATTTAAATCTTCATGTCTGCTATGGGGATTTCAACCCATTTCAGCCTATTTTTTCTTCTTGAGTATGTAATTATTCATTACTCCTACATTACTGTGGCTAAGCCCCCATCTATTCACTCTGTGCTGCTCTGCACAAAACTCGTGTTTTTTTTTTTGTTTTTTTTTTCTCTTTCTATGGAGTCCATGGTACATCTTGTTCAAATGGGTAGGATTACATCTGTGTGACACTCCTGTAGTTGGGTCTGATCTCAGGATTACACAGGGCTCAGCCATACCTCCTGCATATTAGTGGATTTGAATACAAATGATCTTCGAACACAGCTGCAGATGCGCCCTGCTCTATCGGCTTGGGCTTGCTGTTCTAGACCATGCTGTCTCAGGTGCTGTATGGTGGGGGCCCAGCCTAACGCCAACAGTGTGGTCGAGGGATCGTACTTGCAGTCTTTCTCCCCCCCTCTCCACTTTTGGAAATGGTGGCGTCTGAACTCTGCCTCCTTTCCTGAGAAAGCTGTAAAAAGATCAAATTATTTATAGTTGTCGGAAAGGAGACGAGCTGCTTATCTTTCACTGCGCAGTCAGTTGCTGTGTGCTGCCTCACTGCAGCCTCAGCAGAGGTGAGCGAGAGATAAGCAAGAGGTGGAGAGTCAGGAAAGGGAGAGCGGGACTGGAAATGAAGGAGATGAAAGGAGAGGGAGAGAGAACACTCTTTCTGCCCTGATCTTTCATCTTTCCTATATGCGATGTCATTTCACCAAATATGAGTGATCCTTTTTTATGAGGCAATATTTTAGGGCTTTGGGCTGTCGCAGAGGGGAAAGCAAACTCCTTCAGAGAGCATTTTAGATGTGAATTGCTGCATCATGCGTAGCTAAATCTCTTCCCACTGCACGTTAATATGGGGCCACTGCGCTGTCAAACAGCACAAACTCCTGTCGTGCCTCTGATTGTTAAGATCTTAGTTAATCCTCAGTCACGCCTTCACTAAGCCTCCCAGGTCAATCAGTTTAATTTAGTGCATACAGCGCCACTTGTTTGCCTAAATGGATCAAGTCCATTGTGCAATTGATGCTCATTCTCTGGCTCCTGACCTTAGGCTTGGCTTAGCCTACGCCGCGGAGCCATAATGATTTTTTTTTTTTGTGGGCCGTGCCTTTGTCATTGGCGTGTCTACGCTGCCACAGCCGGCTCAGTAATTAGCAGTGGTGGGAGGCAGCGCTGTTCAAGCCTATTGATTTTTATTCCAGGCCCGACAGATGAAATGCCAGGAAAGATGATGTGAGAGAGAAAGCCGCCCCTGCTGATTGGCATTGTTTGCCGAGAGTTGCTGTTTTACAGCAAGGAGATGAATTTAAAAGAGCTGGAAATCTCTTTATTGCACCATTCATCTTGCCCTGTTAGAGCAGTTGCTCTGCGAACTGTTGGTGACAACTGCTGGAGGTGCAAGAGGCTGGTGGGTGACTTTGGCCCAGTCTCTGTCAGAGGAGCTGCTGTAATTTGGTTGCTTGTGAAAAACGATCCCACACTGTTTAAGACTTCTCCCCGGCGTAGTCTGCATTTAGTGCAACAGATTGCTCTCTTTCAAAGACAAATTTAGCAAGTAGAATAATAACTCACTAGCGCTGGCGGCTGTTCCGCTGCTCTCCGTCACGGTAAGCTGCTCAGTATGCTGCTGTGAACTCTGGGAATCGTATGCTAAGGTGCTGGACAGATATTGAATTTTTTTTCTCCTCCTCTCAGGGCTCATTCATTGAGTATTCATGCGGTGAGGAATGATATTGATTGAACCTTTTAAACTATGCTTAATATAATGTAGATATGCATCAAATTCAGCCTAAATGAATTACTGATTGCCTGTCAACAGCAAAACGTGAAATGCCACCTGAACGTGAAGTGCTATAGAGACGATACGATTTATGCATGTTTGTGTGTTCTCGCACTCAGGTGAGCAGTGAGGATGCGTTGCCTGGCGGCCCGGGTCCACTATAAGACCCTGATAGTGATCTGTGCTCTGCTCACGCTCGTCACTGTGGTGCTGTGGAACAAGTGCACCAATGAGAAGGCGCTGCGCTTCCTGCCCCGGGCCCCGCTGCCCCCACCCAGCCCCAGAGCGGATGGCCTTCAGCAGCAACCCCAGCCCCCTGAGCCCCCGCCTGTGGTTGGAGGAGTTCGATATGAAGAAATCGACTGCCTGATCAATGATGATGTCACCATCAAAGGGCGGCGGGAGGGCAGCGAGGTCTACCTGCCCTTCAGCTGGATGGAGAAATACTTTGAGGTGTATGGCAAGGTGGTGCAGTACGACGGCTACGACCGCTTTGAGTTCTCCCACAGCTACTCCAAAGTGTACGCTCAGAGAGAGCCCTACAGCCCCAGCGGAGTCTTCATGTCCTTCGAAGGATACAACGTGGAGGTGCGGGACAGAGTAAAGTGCATCAGTGGAGTGGAAGGTGCGTTGGTCTGTTAAGGCTTTCATTAAGAAAAGAACATCTGTTTGTCACTATCAGTTATATTAGTAATAAAGTAATGTTGATGATTAATGAAGTAATTACGTTTTTTAAAGAAGGTCAAACAATAAAAATGGAAATGGAAGAACACTGTGGTAAAAAAAAATTATATAAATTATAGCCTGTCAAGCTCTGTTTTTTTTCTGTTAAAACAGGAGAAGAATTTTAAATATGCATTTTCGTCCTGCAAATTGTGGACTGATCTTTTTTTTAAAGTATTCGAAAGTTATTTCCTTTTTTTAAACTGAGCAGTCAGTTTTAATCAATTAATTGTTATGGCTATACTGTGTAGTTTAACTTGCCTCATGATGTCCACTAGGGTTGTAATCCTTACGCTGCATTTGCATTCTAGTGAAGTGCTTACCTGGCTGACTGTTGGCTGCTTTGTGGGCGTGTCACTAAAATGAAAGTTAGCTGTTGTAGGCTAGTTCTATGCTGAAATAAAAGTGAAGTAAATCTAATATTGTTTTTTAAAAATGTGAACAGATGACTCTCTTTTATCTTCTCTCAACTGATTTCAGCTGCCATCCTGCTAAACTCGCTTCCCATTTGCATAAAGTTGAGAAAACCCCCTTTTATTGTTCTCTCCACCTGCTTCATGGTACTCCCACGGTCCTCCACACATAACTGCCGCCTGTCTGTAGAAATAAATGGGAGGCGAAGTGAAAATTGGCTTGCTTTGCCATAATGTAAATGGAGCATTAGACTCTGAGACAATGGTATGATCTTGATTTGTAAGGGAACAATTTGATATTTGGTGACATTTCAGAAGATACTGCACTACAGTGTAATGAATCCTCTCACTAATGCTGGTTCAAACAGCATTTTACCGGCTTTGGCTGCTTGTTGAAATGTCTGAACAAGTACTCAAAAACACATCCTCAAAATCACCCTTAAATACAGTAGTGTTTATGATAATGTGATGATCTGTTTGTTGTGGTAGTTGCAGAGCAGCTCCGTGCTGTAACACTGTGTGGAGGAGACTTGTCTCTCATACAGAAAATTGTTCTTAAAGGTTGCAGATCTGCTATTTGTGCAGTGAGGTTTTGAACCTGTTGTAAAACTGTTGAAGTAGAAAAGAACAGATGAAAGCAGATAATATTCTCACCAGAAGTATTTATGGGACAAAGCTGAGTCAGAGGCAAAGTGGACTGGATGCAAGCTGTACTTGGATAAGGATCATTATACTCATATTTTGGATGATTTATTAAACCTGTTGTGCTTTCATGGTCTTCTTATTGCAAAATTTGCACTGAGCATTTTGGTTAACGTCCAATAATTTGCAGTGCTCCCAAACATGATTTCTTTTGGAGGCATCTTTGCTTTTTAGCCTAAGTGTCCATAATGAAAGTGGTGCAGTTTGTTGCACTCTTAGGTGAGGTGATGCCTGGCATGAATTTATAATATGTTCAACTAAACCAGCTATTGTTTTATTTTCTAACATCTTCCATATATGAACAATCACTGTTCTAACTATAATCCTTTTTCGGATGAAATTTATTGTAGTTTAGGCTCCAATTTTTGTTCCTTTAAAAAGAAAGACAAAGGTTCTAAATTCTTGAAAGAGAAATAAATAGTAAGTATTCTAATTATTCAGGTCAGCCCTATGTAGTTCTGTTTCAGTTCACGATAAATTTCAGCAAAATCAAGTTGACATGCGATTAAACTTTAATGAAACTTGTATCGATGTATTGTTGTATCCATAGTGCTTATCTTATGAAATGCTAGAACATTTGGCATGTGTTTAATTTCCCATACTCTTCAGAAATAAATGCTCTCTCAGAAGAATATAGCAAATCTCCTGAAGGTTATAAATGCTACAGCTGTGATAAATGCATACCAGACACTTAAATCTTTAAGTCCCGCAGTTCAATAACAGTTGCCCAACAATGTCTGGTGGCTTAGTTCCAGTGATCGCAAAGTCCAGGAGTTTTTTTGTTTGTTTGTTTGTTTGTTTGCTTGTTTAAGTATGGTTCAGGTTTATGTCAAGTGATCACAGTTATATTCAGCAATTATTATAATTACAATTTTAAACAGTTTTGACCCTGAGTACCTCAAAAGCTTTGACTCTGGTTGGGAGCATTAAGGTTTTTCTCCAGGCACTGGAATCATGCAATTATGTTTATTTTAACTACACAGATTCTTTGAAAGCAGAATCACGTTCTCAAATTAAAATGTGAAGTGTACTGACATGTGGGTGGGTGTGAAACCATGTCTTACACATCACTAAAATCTCTCTTAAATGGAACATTTCTGACCTGAATGATATCTACTGGCTGAAAGTAGCAGTTTCCTCTCATGAGACATCGGCCTCAGAAGAAATCATGTTGACGATGTCCAATGCAAGAGAAATCTGACTCAGTATTGCCTTTTAGAGAATCAGTGTGGCAAACAGCTGGCTAAAATTCCAGTCTCCCACATACATGAATGCAGAAGTTGAAGGTAAACATTTTTCCTTTTAAGATGTTAGTGTGTTGTTTATTAATTCTATAAAATTTGCCTTCTCAAAAGAGCTACTACGGTCTGTTTTCTGGCTTAGTGTGTTGTTTCAGATGATGTGCAGCTCCTCAGCTTTTGACAAGTCTTTCTCCTGGGCGTGTGTCTACCGGCATGTGTGAATAATTGTGTACTTTTGTGCATAAAAGGATTTGTGACTCGTGTTTGTCTCCCACCCTTACAACAGAAATCCTTGGCAGTTTCTCAGTGTACAGTATGCATTTCAAACTGGAAAAGTCTAACAATAAACATTTAAACAAATCAATCAAAAGTAGTTAAACTATTCAATAAATTATTAGACATTAGACGCAATAAATTATTAGAAAATATTAGACACTGATAGAATGATAGTTTTTTTTTTTATTATTATTTAGAACAACAGGACAATTACGGTTACATTTTCTGCATATCTACGGCACTTTCCATTTGCACCAGCAGAGGCGACTAAAATGTTTTCAATTTCCACCAAAAAAAAAAAGAAAGTAAATAAATTAACAAGTTTTGAAAACGTAAACATTAACACTGCCATTTTTCATATCAGAGCTTACTCTGATATGAAAAACTCTTGTAGTTTGTTCGCTCATTTTAATGCTCTGGGTCTATATTTATGAAGCAGCTCATAGTAGGAGTGCTGATCTTGGATCTGTTTGTGTCAGTAAGATCATCGTAAATAAGACACAAATCTGATCCTAAAGCGACGCTGAAATCAACCACATGCTTGATGAAATGAAGAATTTAAATATTTTTCGTCTTCTAGATGATGTATGTTCATACTTTCAGGTAAAGTTACGTCGCGGCATGAAGTTTCAGTTTAACATTACATTTACGTCATGTCCTCTTCTGTGAGTTTATTGGCTGGTTGCAAAGCAGAACGATTATTGTCTGACTCATGTAGACTCTGAGTTTCCCGTTATCTGATTACTCACAAGCATGTAAACACATTGATCAGATTACTGACAAAATCTGATTTTCTGCAGTTATCAGATTATTAAGTGCATAAACACACTCTGTGTTAAATTAGAAAAGCCATAGAACTTGATGTGAAAGTTTCACTGCGTTAAATCCATGAAAATAAACTTAAACTACAATTAAAGCACAAAAAATACTGTTTTTAAAGCCGTTTTATGTGCAAGCACGCTAATATGACGGTTACTCATGCCATCATTCATGACATAATATCACAATAACAGTATCGCTAACATCGTCATATTGTGCACCGCTACGTGTATGTGTTGGCATGACTGCTCTCAGTCATGTGTCATTGAAATAACACTTAATTCTGGTGTGTGAGTGAGAGGGGCAGGGACAGAGTCAGATAGAGAGAGGAGAGAAAAGGAAAAGAGAACACTCTTGCAGAGGCTGCTGGTGGCCATTAATAGTCATTTAGCCCCATAGCACTGTAAGGCTTTTCCTGGAAGCCAGGCTTAAGTAATCCACCTCTAGCCTCTCATGAGTAATGGACCATCAATGAACTTACATTAAGCAAATGAAACTGGGATTGATTCAGCTAGATTACAGGAGTTGATTGTGGTGACCCCAAACTTAATGGAGAAGCCTTTTATGCTTGTACAGACATGCTTCTTCTATTTCACTGAGGTGAGAGAGCAGGAGGGAGATTGAGAAATTGGATGAAAGAGTAAAAGAGAGGCGGCACTGGGTGGTCTGCTGACTGCTCTTTTGGTCATGTCCTTTGGCATCGTTGTCATGCTGTCCAAGAGACACATTTGAACACACTTTTTTCTCTTTGTCCTCATCTGAGCAGTAACCAAGCATGGCGCTCACAGCATTCCATCACTGTCCATGAACTCTCAGTTCCCCTTTCATTTATCTATCACTGGCTGTTTAAAACCTCGCTCGCTGTCTCTGTCTGCCTCTTTTTTTCTCTCTCTTGCTTTCTCCCTCTCTCTGCATGTCTCTCACACTCACTCTGTGTCTAGCCCAGCTGTCTCTCACTCTCTTACACTTGTCTGACTAGCTTTATCTACAGTGCTGTGAAAAAGTGTTTGCCCCTCACCTGATTTCTTCTATTTTTGCTCATTTCTCACACTAAATGTTTCAGATCATTCAACTAGTTTTAATATATTTAATATATTTAACTTGCCATGAGTCTTTTACATCATTGTGGAGGAATTTTGGATCATTCTTCTTCGCAGAATTGTTTTAATTTGGCTACGTTAGAGGTTATTCAGGCATAAACTGGCCGTTTAAGGTCTTGAGATGGGATTCAAGTCAGGACTTTGACTCACTCACTCAAACCTTAATTTTGTTTCTTTTGAGCTCAGAGGTGGACTTGTTTGTGTGTTCATATCATTGTCCTGCTTCGTGACCCAACTGCACTTGAGCCTTAGGTCTCAAACTGACAGGTGAAAACTCTCCTGCAGGATTTTCTGATAAAGAGCAGAATTTGTGGTTCCATCAATTATGACAAATCGTCCAGGTCCTGCAGA